AAGAAAACTGGTTCTCCAATACGAAGAGAAAACACCTGATTTCAAGGCCCGATTAAAACTCTTTGAAATAGCACCACATAAATCATCAGAGCATGTTTTGAGTATACATAACGGAATGCCATCAGCCCCAGGCGCACAACTACATTTCAGACCCCTCAAACCATATGAAACGTTGTTTTCTGGCATGGCCAACTTAAGAATCGAAACCGAGTTAGTTATAAATACCGATAGTGAACAGTTAAATCAGAAAAATATTTTCGGAAATACTTAGCAAAGAGATTTAAGGTTTCAATATCATCAGAGGACTTGGAGCCATTAAAAGAAATCTACGAGGGGCGTATGAAGATTTTTCTTTTCGAGTTAACTAACTTAAAAAAAATATTTAGGATGAACAAGTAGTGAGCATTTTATCAACTAAATATAAAATATATAAACTATATAAATATGTTTTCATCGTATTACCCACGTGATTATACTTTCGTGAATATGAAGAAATTGAATTTTTTTTGGGACGCCTGCCAGTTTAAAGATTAACCTTTCTTTGTGGCTTGAAGTCCTCACATGATGAGATGTAAAAACACGGCTGTTAGCAATAATGGATACTGATTCTGACATCCCCTTACAGAGAATTGTAACGGAATGAGAACGTTCAGCAAACATAAAATATGATACGGATTTCATAGAACAGAATCTATCACCATTAAATAATATCAAAAATCATAAGCCCTACGAACACAAACAGCAGCATCAGCCACAATCATCTAAATCCAAGATAAGCTAACATAAACCTCACGCTCAGCAGCGGATGCCATGCTTCCGTTTTGTACGAGAATGGCCGCACGCTAAGCACAAATGTAATGGTTGCAAAAAATGTGAGTACAAACACCAAGTGATCAAACACCAAGAAAAATAAGGTGAAAGTTTATTCGTAATGACATTATTCGTGCCGAAAATACCGTTGAGAAAATCCACATTTCATGAAACGAGGTTGCATAACAACTACCAGATTTCTAAGAAACCAACTTCTAGAGATGGCAAGACCAAATACACATTCGTGACGCTTTATCTGCCGCATGCAGCTGGCGATTGTCGAAAATATTAGCAACAATATGCGGAACATTTCGTAGAAAAACATATTAACGCAAAACTGTCACAATGAAGTTAGGCAACAGTTGCTTGGAGAAGGGTATACAAGCAGAAGGCAGAGTCAATAGAGTTTATTTATTTATTTATTTATTTATTCCACTTATACTAGAAACACAACTAAACAAATAACAGTCGAGTTCAATTGGCTCTTAATGCAAAACTTATATTAATTAATAATAAAAATTGAGTATAAGTATAATAAAACAAATAAGAAGAAAAAAAAAAGAAAAAAGAAAAAAAAGCATGTACACTATCAGCATAGGACCACACTTACAACCGGTACAGGACCAAATTGCAAATGAACCCCTAAGCCATCGCAAACATGCATAAGCCTGGCAACCGATAATAAATTGACAATAATTCATTTTCGAAACGTAACGACTTTTTAAGGATAAAAGCTAGTTTAAATGCGACACAGGTAAATCGTGCGTATTAAGCAATGTTGCTTTAATGGACTTTAACGAGTCCGATAACGAGAATAAGTGATAGACGTTATTTAGGTTCTTGCAAACGACCCTGAGCGGATTGAACAGCCCATACTTAAATTTAGACTGACTAAGCTTAATCGAGATAAAGTGCCTAGAGAAGCGGTTAGGGACTTTAAAGCTTATTTCACCAAGTAATGAAGGCGAGTCAATGACACCATTTATTGCTTTAATTAGAAAGGAAACGCCAAGAACAAACCTACGTTTCTCAAGAGACGTTAGGGACAGCAGAAGCAACCTATTTTCATACGGAGGAAGAGAGGCAATCGGATCCCAACCCAAATTTCTAAGGGCAAACAGCAAGAATTGCTTTTAAACAGATTCAATTGAATCTACGTAGCACCTACATGAAGGAGACCACATAACTGAGGCATACTCGAGTATGGGTCTAAAACCAAACACATGTACAGCCTTTTCGTAATGTAGGGATCATCAAGCTCTTTGGACCACCTTTTTATAAAACCAAGCGCGGACCTAGCTTTGCTTATTGAGAGCTCAATACGCAATACGTTGATACGTAACCTATGGTCAAATAGAACGCCTAAATAGGTGATCGAATCCAACTTATGCGAATCTATGAAATACTAAGTAATGAATGACTTTCTTCTTGCAAAAGAAAGCTTCTTACATTTGCTCAGATTTAGTTTTAGAAGATTCAAAGAGCACCATGCAACAAAATTATCCAAATCACCTTGAAGCTGATATGATTGCGATTCAACAGAGAAGGAAGAAAAAAGTTTCACATCATCAGCATACATTAAGATCTGGCTGGAATTAACCACCGATGGAAGATCGTTAACGTATAAACAAAATAAAAAGGGACCTAAGTGACTTCCTTGAGGTACGCCAGACGTAACGGGGAATTCATCCGAGGTGATGAAGTTAAACAAAACCCTGAAGGATCTATTGTGCAGATAAGAGTTTATCCATTTCACTAAGTAGGGTGGGAAACCAGAGGCTTGGAGTTTAAAGATAAGTAGTCTATGGTTAACCATATCTAATGCTTTGCTTAAATCAGTGTATATAACATCTGTGCGAGAGCCACTAGAAAAAGCCTTGAAAACATGACAGGTAAACTCTAACAAGTTGGTGACTGTAGATCGCCTTTTCCGAAAGTCGTGCTGGTGCGGAGAAATATACGAATTAATGACAAAGGCCAAATGCTGAGTCACAATACGCTCGAACAACTTGGCCAAGACACTCAACTTGGCTATGCCTCTGTAGTTCTCAACAAATTGTCCACTTCCACTCTTGTGGATAGTAATAAGGAAACTACTCTTCCAACATGAAGGGAAAACACCTGAATACAAGGACATGTTAAAAATCTTTGAGATCACACCACATAACTCGACAGCGCAAGATTTAAGTACACATGATGGAATTCCATCAAGTCCAGGCGAACAACTGTGTTTTAGAGAACTCAACCCTTTAAAAACGTCATCTATCGAAATAACCAAGTTAGGTATTGAAACCGAGTTAGTTATAGGATATGGGTAGTTTGCTGATAAATCGAAATCAGCAAATAGATTTGAGATTTCAAAATCATACGAGGAATCAGAGCCATTAAAAGAAACGTGAGAGGGATATGTGGAAATTTTTCTTTCAGAGTTAACAAATTTAAAAAAGTATTTAGGATTAGGATTTAGCAAACAGAAAGGATTTAATGAACTGAAGGTATCTGCAGATGCAAGCTTTGAACGGACACAACCAGATATTTACGCAGCAGGTACCTGAAGTATCTGTGCATTTTGCGGCCAAAATAAAAGCCCTCGCCGGCAAAATTACTGAAGTAGTGACTCAGCTTGATGCCAAAGTGGAAGCCTTGGAAGGAAAAATTTGTGGAATGTTAAGCCGATTTGCAATCTTACGGACAGAAATAGGCGCGATAAAAACAAAACAATAACTTATCTGAAAGTCAGTGCTTCCAAAGTTAAAACGACGAACGCCCCTAATGTGGTTTGCCAAAAATAATCAGAGGTACAAGATGATCTGATTAGCAAAAATGAAAAAACTACATAAAAATTTACAATAGCAAAATGAATGTAAAAACAAGCAAGTGCGGTCAGGTTGACCGTTTTGTCAATTTACTATTATGAAATAATTTTTACCATGAAATATTGAAAATGATCAAGTTTTTACCATGAAAAGATTCAGTTGTCATAGGAACGATTATATTGCAAGATATAAAATTACTTTATGCCGAAGATATAGCTCGGCGTTGTCCAGGTATCCTCACAAGAAATTTTTATTTCGCGCGACATTTCCATAAAAGAGAATTTGCGATTACTTAATTCAGTTCTGTGGCTTACTGGATTCTCTATGGACTACGATACAACTTGCGATTAATTCTTAGAAGCATACAATTTATTAAAGCGAATGAATTCTTAAGGCAACACCGGAGTTTAGCAGGCAAAATGTGTAAAATTTATATGAAACTTCGTCGATTGATTTTTTAACATGTTCTTTGTATGGATTCTTTTATGACTTTTAGCTTAGCTACCAAGACAAAGTCAGATTAGATTAGATTGCTCTGTGATTTAAAGCCATGGACAGAGGAGCCGCGATAAATTGGGAAAATGATTCTGAATCGATCGGTAAAATAAATGTGGGTCGATCTTCTGGTTCTGAACGCCACACAAATCAAGGTTTTTAAAGATGACTGCTGAAAAAACGAATTAAAAGCATCGAGTTCAGGAAAAATTACGTGTCGGTTGACTTTACAGGTAGGTCATTGTTACTGAGCTAAGCCACGAATTGCTTAAACGTTAGGATACAAAAAATGATGCTGGGTTTGGAAATCAGCTTTTAATTTCGATAGGCCACTGTTTTGAGGTTTTATGCTTATATATGTATGACTTGCTTATAAACGGTAAGCAATCAAGCCTACTAAACAAATCTCCCTTTCGCATTTATTTGTTTAAGAGCTCAAAACGTAATGATCATTCGATTCGATCTAAACCGAACTTAGAGCAGCTTCTTTTTCTTTTTTCACTTTGTAAGTTTGGTTCATTTTTCATTTTATGTTTACATTTCTTTTTAACTGCGACCCTGAATAAAACCAGTTTTATTTACATACGGTGAGATCACACACACATTTCAGCAATTCAAAGATTTACATATACTGCTGCGGATATATTATAGTTATTCAAATTCACTGCACCATTAACGAAATTTTGAGATGATTCATTAAATGAAATGAGTAAAATAAATAAGTCGTTAACATTTCCACATAGTTTTTAACACTACCTCAGGTCTACGAACTATTTTGGAATTATGAATGTCTACGCACGCATAATTTTTCTTTTTTGCAAAAATTGTCACTAACAAAAATATTCTCGCTGCTTACATATCCACATCTATCGTCCGAACCTATGACGAGCCGAGTGTTAGGTATGGAAATTCTCTTATCCGACTATTTAAGATATTTGACGCTAAATCTTTAGGGCCAATTTCATTGAAATATTTCGACGCGTGTCTAGTATTTTTATTTTGAAATAATACAAGAATCACTACTTCAACTGTGAACGTTTTACCACCACCAACCCCATAAATATCACCGTCCATTTCCACCAATGAATGGCCGTGTTTAGCTGACAACATTGAAGATACGTGCTCCCATTTACTACGTCGCACATCAAATCGCTCTCCATTAGATTGTGTCAAATTATTAGAATTGAGGCCCCCGGAGAAAAACAAAGAATTTTCGTGAGAAACAACATCGGTAGATTTACGATAGCTTAACAAAGGAGGCATGAGACACAACTGGCCTTCTCTTGGATCGAAACGTTCCATTATTGTTTGATTTATCGTTGTACCTACACAGTAAAGACAATTGTCTGACATTGTCGCACGAGCGCCTTCCAGATTAGAGTTCATATTTGGGCATGTAATCCATTTAGACGTTAATATGTCGTAACATTCTACACGATGATGAGAAATTTCGCCGTCATTACCACCGCACGCATATATCATGTAGCCAAGGATACTAATTCCAAAATTGTAACGCTTAACACGCGCGGCCGGAATATTAGTCCAAGTATTAATTAAAGGATTATAGCACTCAGCACTATGCAGTGGTTGCACTGAAGGTACTTTTCCGCCAACAACATATAGTAAATTACATAATGAGGATGCCTCAGCATGGCTTCTTTCTAGCCGCATCGGCGCCATAAGAACATCGTCCCTCGGTCTTTAACTAGTATTCCATAGCATTCATTAAATGGTACTTACATCATGGATTGTTCTTTATGTAAGACTCAGCAGCAACAGAATTCATCAAACATTTTGTACTAATCAAAGACAAACGTACATATTTGAATAAGTCGACGAGATGGATAAGTCGCTTTCCTGGATAATATTTTATCCAATTTAATATAGCATTAAATACATTTATCTCGGAATCGACGATAATTATCTCACTTGATATCAAATATCTTATCTCTTCAAAAAATAACAGTAAATGCTCTTTAGTGTTCCAAATTTCCAAATAATTTTTTTTAATATATATTTTTGACACCTATTGTACAACTCTTTACAACCGCAAGTATCAGCGAGTTTTGAAATACCTAAACAATTCAAAGGAAGTAGATGGTTTTTCAAAAACTCACAGCATACATTAGTAATCCACTGAATTTGCGATAAAGTTGACGCCACAAGGAGGCGTTTAACATTACTTCCGGTAATAGTAATTTTACCCGAGTAAATACCGTCGATTATATCCGCCAATATTTCTTCATTAATATCTGCGATTTTCATGAAATCTCCATCTTTTTTCTCTGTGGCGGCTAGCACGACCTTATGGACATGAAAAATTTTGTCATTCACTTCAAGGTCCATATCAAAAACTTTGGATTCTCTCGAATTCGGTTAAAACCAGCAAAGGGATCACAGACATAATCCAATGTCGAATAGGTTTCTTTGCTAAGATGCTCTGCAGTTGCATGCATTTTTTTTAGCATTGCAGGCATTATTGGAGGAGTCATTCGTCTTTGTAAAGAAAACTTTAAATCCAATAAACCACGTTTTTTAATAACATACGTACCGCATATTGCGACAAAAAAACACTTAAATGATCTGAAATATATTAAAAAAAATTACAAAAGCTAATAGGAAAATTTTTGACAACTATTCCAAGACAACTGCGTACAAATTTACATCCCGTAGCGTATGGATGAAAATCGGTTTTGACTTGAATTCGACGACAGTAAATGGTAGTGCGAGTTAATGCGTTATTTTAATTTTTAGCTTGACACACGCATCACACACACACGTACACTCATAAAAAATTTAAAAAAAAACATGTTAACTCATAGCGCATGCGAACAGGCCACTGCTGCAAGACACGTTCAACGTTGAATTTGTTTGGATTACATGTATAGGTAAATACATATCTATCTGGGAGATTCCCCAAAAAAAAGCTCAAAATGAGTTTCACTTTTTTGGTTTTGTAGTGAAGTTCTTTTTTTTTGTGGTAATAAGCGTAGTAATAGTTGTTCTGAAAGTACCTAAACCTATAAAAGGTATAAAAAAAACCAATTAGTCGCAGTTGTAGTTCAGTTATTTTGAATGAAACTTCAAAAAAAAAGTGAACATATATACATATAATGAACATCGTAAGTTTAGAAACAAGTTTTCTGGGTTATACTACAAAAAAATTTAATCATACACTTACAGACCCTTATCCTGATTTTGTTAATTGCCATAGAATGTACGTTATCTATACCGCTTAAAATAAAACCTAAAACTTTCGGCTCTTTCGGTCCGGGCGGCGGTCTTGGTATAGGTTTTTCTACATCTTTTGGACTTCACAGTAATCTTTACAACGATTATGGGAATTACGGGAATGGCCATGGGTACGCATCCAATGGATATTACCGCCCGTTTTCTTATTACACATCTGGGATAAGCAACTTCGGTGCTTATCCTGGTTATCAAAGTTATCAGAATCCATACCAGAATTATCTAAACGGCTACCACACTAATCCACGTTACCCAGGTTATGGTTATGGACATGGGTACGCCAATCAATTTGACGGTCATTATACGCAACATCATCACGAAAGCGGCTCTTATGGTGGGGGAGGTCATTTCTTTGGTTGAATACGTGTAGGCAAGATCTACTCAAAAATAATTTTAAAAAAAAACCTTATTAATAAATCATTGAACACATTCACATGCACGGTGAATGTTAAGCCTTCAATTCACATTTTCAACTTTTTGTTTAAACATATAATATTTATATTAACTGAGGGCATTAATTAAACGTCTTTCTTTTATAACATCATTAAAAAGTTACAGATATTATTGCTTATCATAGTATAATAAGAAAAATAAAAGAAAAAGAAAAGAAAGTGCAATAAGAAAAATGGGCTTGAAAGCTGGTAATAAACCCCTATTCATATAGATATCACCAATTAAAATTTCGGAGCTAAACAATATTAGGCTTCCTTGATCAATTCAATGGGCGGATTCGGACGTAAAAGTGGTGAACGAATAATCCAATATAACTCTGCACCTCGTTGAACGTGATCGAGGATATTTATACAATTCTGGGATTTCTGGTGTTTCTGAGGGTGATGGTAAACATCATATTTCGTCGACAGTTACAAAATTAGATTGTAAAAATATTTGCTTAAATTTAACCAAATGGTGTTGTACGTCTATAAGAAGGATAAACTGGCTGAACGTTACCGGTCAATTGCTGTATGATACCGTTAACCGTACTGGCCACACTACCAACCAAAAAGGCTGGGGTCACGGTTGGCTGCAAAAATAAACATCACTGTACATTATATCTATATTCGCGCACTCATTTCACAATTTACTTACAGCCCCAGTTGAATCATAAAAAACTTGGTTAGGTCGCCTTGTAGGAGGCTGGCGCGAAGGATATGGGCGATAATTTGGATCGACGTTAGCGTCAACATTGTAATCATCATATTGAAATTCATTAAGGCTCGTAGGTACGGCATTATCTTGATATTGAGGACGCGCTACTTCGGACAGAGGATTCTGCAATACACCCGGAGCAAATAACCTTACAAAGTTGCCCAATGCAGTGGCGCCTGAGGTTATCCCAGAATCTCCTAAGATGTCGTTGCTCGTGTAAGGTCGATCATAACAACCTAAAATTCCCCCACTTTGAGGATATATATTGTAAACATTTACATCCCACAAAAAACGACCCCCACCTTGCGGGGTGTTGCGTCCATTTGAATAGCAAGGATTTATCAATGAGTGCAAACGCCTCCGCAATTTGCGTTTCTTTAAATAAAGGCTTCTGTCCGTTGGCGTATTAATCTCCTGATTAAAGGCCCCGGCAAATTTGGAGTTTTCACTATCGGCTTTACTTACACGTTGATTATGTTGTTGCTCATATCTTTGGGCACCGCATATACCCAAAATGCAGGCTACTATACATAAATTAACGGCGCTTTTTAGATTCATCACAAACTTCTAAATTTTAGTCCGCACACTAATAATGATGATATAATGAATAACGCTCCCTCAACAAAAATTTAATGGCAGGTAAATACGCAGGTATGGTGTTTTTAAAGCTGCGAAGCAATTAGTTGATATCATATTTTCCTAAAAAGGCTTTGGGCCGGTTATTTCATAATGCGCAGAGTTTACCATAATTATCTATTTAACATACAATGGGTTTCGTAAACCATCATCAAAGAAACACCCACTCGTACGAATTCGATAAAAGCGACTAGTAAAATTGCTGTAGTAAACACACTTGGTTATGGTTTTCTGGTTCACAACTGAGCGATTAACAAAGATATATTATGCATTCAGTGCCGTTATCACTATGACAAGTTTACAATGATATCTTACAAAACCGCGGAAAATTTTCTAAGCTTTTAGAAGAACATGCTTTTTGTAAGTTTGTAGAACGATAACTACAACCTAGTTAATGCTACATGATTGATCCAGGCAGCGGAATAATGGTTATAATTATATGGAGCCGCAAATATTAACGCTATCTTTATTTTCCCCTTTATGCATACTATAAAACATCCAACAACTTATTTTTCTTCAAACGCAACACAAGCTTACAAATTTCAATTAAGTATTTTTATATAGAACGACTTCTGTATATATTTCTTGCCAAAGAAATGTTACATTTTAAGCGGCAGAGCTTATAATGTCGGTGTACATTTTTACTTTGCTTGCAATACTCATATCTACGTATTTATCACCAATTGAAACAATCATGCCACCAATAATATTCGGATCCACTCGTGATGTCACTTTCAAAGTTTCGTTGCTCTTCAAAAAGGCCTAAAATAAAAACATTAAAATATTTCCATAAAGATTTCGTAATGTCACGAACGCTCACCTTGAGAGAACTTTCCAACTGCTTGTTTTGAGCAGCGTCCAAGGGTTTGGCAGTAATTACCTCGCACACCACTTCACCTCGATGAGCAGCCATAATCATGCGGAATGCATTAGCAATGCCATCAAGCAGATTTAAACGACCATTATCTGCTAATAGGCTCAATAAATTACCACTAGTAGGAGTCATACCTGCCTTGTCGGCAGTTTCCTTGAGAGCTTTGGCCATAACCCTCTTGTTTATTATTGGACTTATGACCAATTCACGCAGTTTCTTATCCTTTTTAAGGCTGTCTTGAAAATTATTTATGTCCTTCTCCACTTGATCTAATTGCTGTGATTTTGAAGCAGCCGAATACAGAGCTGTAGCATAACGGCCTTCCAAGCCAAATACTTGGATTGGTGGTTTCACCGTTTTGGTGCTCATAGCACGAACCTAGACATAATTATAATATTAGTCCACTTATCAGTAATTGTTACAAAACAAACGGCACTTTCTTCTTTGCACGTTACATAACCACAAGCAAATATTTCACATTTCACATTTGGGTTATTAGTTTGCGCAACATTTTCCAACATATTTTGTATGACTTCATGCTCCTTAGCGTTCTTATAAAAAATAACTTTATTCAAAAGAACACGAACTTACAAGAAATCCTAATTTGTTAGCGGCTGCCATGATTCGTCTACTTTTAAATGCAGTACGAGAAAAATCCACGGGCTTTCATCCAAAACAAAGTTGCCAATCTCAATTATTTTGCTATGGTTACCAAAGTTGTCGAATCTACTACTCTTTAAAAAGACCACTCCGTATTAAAAATAAATTTCGTACAATGACTTATTAGTGACACCTATAAGTCGGGAAAATATTTAGTAGATGCACAAATATATCAATTACTGGGGATCAATATGGTTCCTTTTGGCAGGAATTGGTTTATGCAACCCGTTTAACCCGTTCTAGGGTTAAACTAATTTGCTGAAGCAAAAAGGCTTCCGGTTGAAAAACCTCTTTACTCACCTCCTGTCACATCAACAAGCAGTAAGTTTCCAAAACTATACACTTCTTCCACTTCCATTACAGTTCAGACTAATACAATACAGATGCATCGTTTTTGTAAAATTATAATACCAAGTTTATTTACTTTTCAAATATATAAGTTTATACGGTTCTCACATTAGATTAAAGTTGATTTTAAATTATTTATTTAAAATTCCTTTTTGCCCCTACTTGTCTTCTGCAACCAAATATATAAGGAAAAGAAATCAAATTTTTGCATCCTAAATAATTATTGCCTTGTCTTTTTATTAGTCACTTACCACCGTCTTCTTCATCCTCTTCACCATCACCATCCTCATCATCAAAATTTTCCTCTTCATTGTCTTCATTATCCTCCTCGTCGTCATCATCTGGCTCCACCTCAATATCAGGTACCAGATAATACTGCAGAGGGTTCGGCCAAAGATCGTCTTTGATTAATTCGGCAATTTCATCATTGACAGGATCACTGTTATCAGTGAACCAATCAAAAAAGGTTTTATACTCGGAATTTCGCTTTTTCTTATTATTAAATGGTTTTGATAATAAGACCTTCAATAAGTTTTTACCCTCTTTCCATTGTATTGGAGTGCTAGAGGAGGATGGACAGTCACTATTTTCAGCAGCTGTAAAACCAGAAAATAAAAAATTTGCATATATCATATCCATAGAATGAAACCATTATTTTTGTTTATACTCACATCCGGAGCCCAAATGGAATTCTTTCGTCAGGACCTTATTTTCAAAATATTGGTTTTCGTCAAAATAAAAATGTATACGATAACCTGATTTGATGTCTTCAAATTCTTCAACTTCCAGTTTACTTAAAGCCTGCAGGCAATCTTCTTCACCCTCATCCAGTATTCCGGACACTTGCGGATGGTTCATCAGCTGAAATAAAGTAATTAAGTCCAATATTTTAAATCCGGGGTTAAAAGTATATTTTACACTCATTGCCCACTGTACTTCAACTTGTCACATGCACACGCACTCCCGTTAGAATACACCATGTGTATACCCATGTGCATAATCGCGACTGTATACAAATAAAGGGCGAAAAGGAAAACAAAAATCATTGAATGGGGTTGGATCGCTCTCATATAAAACATCCCGTAAGCTTCTTATGTTTCACCAATCGAAAGAAGACATTCAATGCTTACGGTTTATTTATCCGTAATCAAATGTGCTAAAAAAAAACAAGTTCTTTCAAAGTTTGTCAGTAATATTCAGAATAGTGGCAACACTAACGGATGTATACACAATATTAAGCGCCACTAACTATGCCAAAGAGAAAGACAACTGCCTTATTATAATACGGATATGTATATACAGCGGACAGAACCGAAAATGTACAGACACAAACTTTTGCTCGCACATTTATAAACTACGCCGCCAAACGATGCAATAAAAGTGCGACGATTACAGAGAATGAGAAGAACGACAAAAAGCGTGCCTTCCTTCTCTGTTCTGCTTTGAGTAATACAGCGTAGTATACACTTTTTCGTCTGAAAAAACAATGTTGGATATCAATATTGTTATAAAACCGAATTATTGATGACCTCCTCCTTCAGCAAGGCCTAACCCATTCATAATCAACTTTTCCATTTCGCCTTCTTGTTTAAATAATCAACCACTTACTGTTGTCACCCAAAATCTGGGAATACGCTTAACAAGTTCGCTGCGTTTGTCGTAGCAAGGCTTTCTCAGCTTATTGTACTTTTGCTCAACTTTGAGAATTTCCTCGCTTGCCTTTTCGTTGAGGGCATCAATTTCATTTTGGCAAGCATCGATTAATTCCAATGTCTCCGTTTCTGCTTCATCCAGTGTGCCCTCTTCTAATTTTGCGCGTTTACTCGGTAAACTAGACATTTTCACTTTATATTTGATAAGTTTTCGCTAATTAAAACAAAGACTTTTTAAGCTAAATTGAATAGCGGCGTCGACACTTTTCCGTACGTAGTTGTAGTAGACGATGAAATGATGATTATTGTGTGTGTATTTATAAAGAATGGCGAATTTTATGAAAATGCCGGTTTTCTACGGCATTGCCAACACTGTGGATTATCTATTATCTTATTAGTAAAAAAAAATGGGATTATGCTGGCAAAAGCAAATTATGTTTTTATTCTTTAAACCCAGATGGCGAAAATGTTTTCAATTAATTCGTGAGTTGAATAAAGAAGGAACAATTAATGACTACGCATGCCTTAGGGAAACAGAATAAACAAAAATATATAAAAGATAAAAACCAGATATGCTTCATTCAATATCAGGGAAGAATAGATACAGCGACTGCAAAGTGGTTAGACTGTACATTTGAGATTTTTAGTTACAACTTCTCTTTTAGTAAAGTGACATCTGTCTTAATTTACATTTGCTAGAATAGCTGCCCCCTTGATTAACACAAGCCATCAGTGGTACAAACCCAACGCAAACAAATGGGACGAAGTAGCAGAAATGGCGTGAACATACCTGTTAATGGAACGAAGTAACAGAAATGGCGTGAGCATATCTGTTAAATGGAAGAAGTGGTGGAAAAAATCGTAGCAGCTGGATATACGGTTCTGTTACAGCTGTTGTACTTTGTAAGGTTTACTTTGATGTGAAAATGCAGATGTCGGGTGCGCAAAAAAAGAAACAAAACAAAGAAAGAAATCCCAATGAAAGCAAGAACATAGGTAATTGTGAAATCAAAAAACGTGACATTTAACTAAACATCATGTGCGGAATGCAATGTTTGATTGCTTGAGTGTTTGCTTTTTACAGCCATTCTTTCCAAAGGTTTTAAGGACTTGGCAAAAGAATTTATTAAAAAAGGTAAACTCAATCGCCTTCGCTTGATAATCTTTCATTATCAAGTGTTCAGTGTTGCGTTCAAATGTGGCGATATTTGGCTTGGGACATTCTAATTTCTTATGCATTCGGTATATACTGGTGGTACGCTGATGTTAGACGGTTTACTTTAATTTCCTCCCAAGGCCTTGGAAAGGTCGCAAACAGAATATGCGTTGCACAGGAGTGTTTAATTGTCTAAGCGAAGCGATTAAAATTGAGGATTTTAGAGGTCTGTGCAAAGGCGTTGCTTCATTCATATTAAAGTCAGATTTATCTACTGCTTCGTATTTCAGATAAAAAGAAGAGTTTCATTTGACACTAGATTATATTTGAATTTAAAACGCAAAACTTTTATGGTTGAGCTGATATAGGAATATTTCTGTCTCTTTACTACTATATTTTTTCTGCTCTGCTACTTGTTATTTTCGTCGTTATATATTGATTTTGAGTTACATTAAAAATCTTGACTTATTATTTTGAGCAAATTCAATATAAATTTTCGCAGAACTTCATACTGCACACGCCGATGTGCAAACACAAGCATGTTTCAATTTATCTTCTTATTGCTTCCAAAAACTAGTCATCTTCAGCCTTCGGTGTAAAAGAACGAGTTCTCCCTACAAACCTAGGTGCACTATTCTCTAAAAAGTCTTCGGTAAGGGGTGCTGAACTTTTCAATTCCACCATCGGCTCGATGTCCAAATTTACTTGAACCATGCAAAAAACAAAGTGTTTGTACGAATTATACTCATAAACTTATCGTACTCACTGATGTTTGACAACCTGTTAAAACCTCTGCCTGTGGCATTTTTGACAGTCAAAACAACGGTGTGTTTATGTGAACAAAACAAAATCATACCGTTGATATTTGAAGCATCGTATGATTTTAAAGTGGTCACTTACATTTTCAAAGAACCAAAAACAATGAAACCAGCTATAAAAATAATGAATAATTAACTATATTGTCTCTTCTTATTTTGCTTCAAAAAGACCATCTTTCAAAGAAATTCTTCGCTTTATTAATTTTACACTTCATTAACGTTTACGTAAACAGACGCTGGTTTGCTTTCAGCAAAGCATCCAGGCTATTTTTTCAACTATTATTACGTTATGCATTCATTCACAAAGCATAATATAAGCATTGTGCGCCGCGTAATGTTCACTTTTTCAAGTGAAACTTTTCCACTGTCCTGGATTTTTACCGGAAAGGGTAACACTATTATTGTGTATCTTATTCGTCTTCTGCGAATCAGCAAATCAAGTGCAGATGAATTACTGAGTTGTGTTTTATTAACATGCCATATAGTTATTTTATTTATTCATTATTTTTTACGTTCGTTTAGATTAGCCAATTTATTTTAGAGTACAAAAGAACAAAGATTATTTTTATTTTTTGGTTATGCTAATTATGGTATAGATAGAAGGATTAAATATCATGTCAAAACGGGATGTAAAGAACTTAGACCCTTGTAATTATTACGCACAACTGTAAAATACTATATCCACATATAAAAAAAATCATATATAATATGTATTTATTTTATTTCTTATAAAAATACAACTGATGTTGGTTTCAGTACAACATAATGGTTTTATTTATTTTATGATCCGCCTGAGTGGCCGAGTAGGCAAGAGTCTCGACTAAAATGTAATAATATTTTTTTGGTCGTATAATAAATTTTTCTGGTCGTATAATAAATTTTTTTGGTCGTATAATAAATTTTTCTGGTCGTATAATAAATTTTTTTGGTCGTATAATAAATTTTTTGGTCGTATAATAAATTTTTCTGGTCGTATAATAAATTTTTCTGGTCGTATAATAAAGTTAATAATTTTAAGTTATAAGAATACCATCACAGGTCTGGAAAAGTTATTAATTAACTAATTAACTTTCTTCCCTAAAACTCTTACAACTCTTATAAATAATGACTACTATTTGTTTTAACACTTTTAATATTATTCTTCATTTCTTATGTCTTAAATAATTTAAAGAAAAAAAATCTAACCAAACGGTATAAGCTGGTTCATCTGACCATAATAATAACCTTATTGCTTATGCAAACTCTCGGTTTTGCTTTGGTTTGCATATATATGGACTTTTGAGTCTGCCTTTGATTTGTGAACAATTTCATATGTTTTCGTTTGAATTCAGTTCGCTATTTTGTATCTACTTTTGTGTCTACTTTTGAGTCTACCTTTGATTTGTAAACAATTTCATATGTTTTCTTTTCAATTTAGTTCACTATTTTGTGTCTACTTCTGCGTCTACTTTTGAGAGTCTATCCGCCTGAGTGGCCGAGTAGGCAAGAGTCTCGACAGCAACTCAATGGTCGTGGGTTCAAATCTCAAGTGCGGTAGAGTTTTTAATAAAGCCGAAAGCCTTAGATGCTAGTGCTTTAAGACTTTAGTCTTAGAATTTATTTCTCTGGCGAAATTAATAATAATAATAATATTTCTTATATGAATATCGAGTATAGATAGTTATTATTACTAATTGATTAATAAACTAAACTACAATAAACTAAACTAATTGGAAACGGAGAAGAGAAAGTATGGTCCATCTATAAGAGCGCATAATAAGCACGTGCAAAGTACGCCCGGTTATAGAGTCCATATTTCGTGATATTCGGAGAAACCCAACTCTAAAACACATCTTTGACAGATAAGCCTTTAGCACTTATTAGTTTTTTGAGTCATTTTCCATAATAGCAGCAAGACAGCAAGAAAAACACGATAAGGTGATTGTGACCTTTATGGAAAAGGGCAGAATATATATATATATAAATATTACTACTACTGCTTACGTGCCGGACATTACCTGGTCAAATGTGAAAATGTAAAAAATGCTAAAAAAGGATTTCTCGAACAAACCTGCAACAACTCCGCTTGACTGACCATTTTTAACAGAGCTTGTTCGCTTAGCTGAAAAAGAAAGGTGAAAATGGATGCATTTTGACGGAAAACTCTACACTTTTAACGCAAAACGGTGACAGATGACTAATTTTGTTATAATACGATAATCATATCGATTACGAAAAGAAAAAATAATAATATTAAAAGACTTTTAAAGCTTAAATTGGTTTTTCTTTTCTTGAAACCTGATAAAAATTTTGATTTCAATTCGCAAGATAATTTTACGTGTCCCTCTTTTCGTTACTTTATTAGTTCCTTTTATATTTTTATTTTTTCAAGATTATGCCAAAACGAATCCTAATATGTCTAAATATAGATGTATATACATATACATATATATTAGATCTTACGAATCATATAAAAAAAAACTGATAAAAATAAATTTATAAGTTTAATTACGCTGAAAAAAGCTGAGCATTCTAATTAATTAAATGCATCTTCAATTGATTAATTATGATAGTTTTTCTTAATTGAAAAAAAAAAATCTCAGAATTTAAAACATGATTGGCATAAATTAGCAATTGCGGAAGCGATTACGATTTATTGATTAAAAATTTTTAGCTTAGAGAAAAGTGCTAACCATAGATAGGATAGGCTGTAATTGACAATCACAAGAACTCTTAAGTATATTACGTACCAACATCATCACCTACATTTAATTTAGTATCTACATATATATATACTCTCTCTCTATTTCTATCGATTATTGTGAAGCTTGCATATATATATAAGAATTTGTAATACTTACAGTTTTACTTATAGAGGAATATATTTTTATATATAATCGATCCTTTTACTAGCTTATATCCACTATCTCTCGTAAAGATTTCTTATGAACAATACACTAAATAACAATAAAGTGCTCTATTTGTACTTTATATTTTATCTGTTATCTGAATTTGTTTTTTTTTTCTTTTTAATTTGTTTTAATTGGTTTTTTATGATTTTTCACCGAGGGTACTGAAAGAACGCTATACAGTTTGAGAATTTATGCATTAGGCTACACATTGTAATCAAGACGTATAGACATGTAGTTAAGAAGCGCGACTATCAAGTACGCATGGCTATAATCCTCCCTACGGTAGATCGTCCTTTAATTACGATTGGTGCGTGATTGCAGCTATCGTACCGTAAGTGCTCAGTCGATAAAGCGAACTTTACAAGCTGCAGCCACTGCTTACATCTCTTTATGTAATATATTATATAACTATATACGTTATACTATACTACATATTCTATATTATATAGATAATATTATACCATTT